CCCACACACACACACCAATAGGACGGACGGTCCCCGACACGCGAAACTCACACGGCGAAGTCATGTCACATGATGCGAATGCACGATTGAAACAATTTTACTGACGGGTCCGACTAACTGCGCGTTCACCACAGAATTCTACACTTATTCTAATAAGTGTAGAATTCTGTGGCGTTCACACAAAACACTCGTATGAGCGACAGTCGTTCTACTTCTAGGATAAAACGACGGCGGCCGACCGACCAAATGTACCAAAAAATATCTGTTATCCCTCAAATGCGTTCAGACTAAAGCAACAACAACGGTCGTATGTTAGTCTTGTCGGCGCAGTTACATGTTAGTAGTAGTATAGGGTTTTACGGCGCTCGCAACTGCACAAGGTCAGTTACATGTTAGAAAGATTGTCGCTTGTCTGAGTGTTTGATGTGAACGCGCCATAGACCTAATAGGCTAATTATAGGTTAATGGAACGCGTAGTAACCAGACCTAGGACAAGGCTTGTTTTGAAAGTAACAGCGGAACTAGGAACATTATCGATTATTTTGTATGTCCCAAATTGTAACAGTTACCAGGCTATCATCGGAGAATTCTGAGTGCGGGCAAAAATCAAACACAACTTCGGGCGAGTCAACTACTAAATCCGACATCGATATTTCGGGCAATAGTGCTCCGAGTTCCTACTAACAAAAAGTTCAACGGGTACTTCCCGCGAAAAAGAAGAAGGCAGAGGAAGTTTTTAGAAAAATGCGGCACAACAGCAGACTGGGACCAAAAATCGGGATATACGCGATCGAAATCGGGAAAATCGGGATGCTTGAGATTTGGGGCAAAAAATCGGGATATCCCGACTAAATCGGGATGAGTGGCAGGTGTACCTAAGCCCAAAGATTTTCAAAATTTTGTCGACTAGTGTTCTATGATCATTGGAGGCACAAAAAAGCAATGCAATAACTACACAGCTGTTTGCACTAACAGTAACTCTTTAACTGATAAGGAGGCAAGGGGCTGGGCAACTCTATGAATGTTCATGGCTCAATTACAACTGGGCACAGAGAGTAACAGAAAATGCATTTATCTGTTTATTCCTTTATTCTTCGATTCATTCACTCATCAACTTGTTTATTTTAGTAGAGGTTTTACGGCGTTCACAACTGCATTAGGTCATATGAGCGCCAGAAGATTAGAGGTGTTAAAAGAGAGTAACAAATATAAAAAAGAAGGAGGGGGAAGATCTGGAAGATAGATGTTTGACAGCAAAGAAGAAGCAAACCATACCAGAGCACCTGCCAACCACCCACACTCATCAACTTGTTCTACCAAGACAACTCGGTAAAAAAGGTAAGGTGCCGTACAAACAAGAAAGGTCAATGAAAGAACAGTGGAATAAACTACAGACCTGCAGCACAGCATCATGCACAGAGTCTCCCAGGTAAGCTTCCAGGTGTAACCGGCTCAGCTGTTTGCTCATCTCAGACACCATAACACTCGGTAGCTCCGATAGACTGGCAAAACAAGGAGAGTAGAGCCAGTTTAATGTGTTGAAAAATAAAGTGAAAGTTTATATGCAGCATAAAGCTGTAAAAGCATGTTCCAGTTCCATCAATGACACCTACTCCCCTCCCCCACTCCTTTGTTTTAGTAAGTGTTTTTTGGCCCTTGCAACACAATAAGGTCATATAAGTGCTCCAATTAGATTTCTATTATTGATGATTCCATGTAAATGAGGCTATGAATGCACTACTTACTTTGATTAGCAATCTATGAATACATCATTAAGAAGAGGAGACAGAACAAAAAGGAGAAAATGGGAGTAGAGAAGATGGAGATGTGAACTTATAAAGAATTCAATTTTTATTTGTTTTAAAAGGTCTGAAAACACTTAGAGCCCAGCACACTTTCCAAAACCAAATAAAATCATATATCATATGTGTCACGACGCGGTGGAATCAGGCACTTGTCAATTTTTGGGCATATATATGGGGTTATTGGCATCATCTTAAAGCAGTGGCGTCGCGTGGGCTGCAGACAAGGTGGTGCATAATTGGAAAGTGAGCAAATGGGCAATAGGTTTACTAGCTACTACATGTACATGATGTATTAAGATTTCTAGAGAAAGTCAATTAGAATCTGCAGGATATCCCGTAATCTACATATCTATCAATATTTACAACTGTTTCTAGATGAAACCGCATAAAAGCTGCAATAAAGTGAAACAATACTAACAACTCACTATGCTCACAATCTGAGAATATTTAAAGATTTCTAGGCTAATTACTTCGTGCAGCACCAGAACTTGCTACACAATAGAGGGAGACAACAGTTTCGACCCATTCTTCATTGAGTAACCGTAGACTCTACTAGCGTAGTAGATCAGGCTACAGGAAACTTGGATCAAATTTTTAGCTTGCACCAAATTGGTGCTGCGAAGAGCAGTTTCATGCACCTTTCTTCTTGTGCAGGAAAAACGATGAGTAGTGACTCTCCGAACGCTCAATTAACTCACAACACAACAGCTGACATGATCATGACTTCGCACAGACTTGCGGAGTGCTCACACGAAAAACACCACCTGACCCGACTGTCCTACACGGCCAGTCGAGTAGAAAACTCCGGTGAGTAAAGATCTACCACACTGGTGACCCCGACAAGTTGAAACGCAATTTCAACTTTGTGTGTTCTGTCTTGGATTATATTTTGAATCATATTTGAGCGGAATTGCGTTTTCGTCACAACCCTTACCATCCCTTCAAAATGTGTGAACAGGATCGTCAAGTAAGTGCAGTTTCTATTAAACTACCAACATTTTGGACAGCCGGGCCGGAAGCTTGGTTCGCCCAAACTGAAGCGCAATTCGCTTTGCGAAATATTACCCAAGGCGAAACTAAATACTACCATGTTGTCGCCGCCCTCGATAACAGCACAGCAACTCGGGCACTTTCAATATTAACCAGCCCACCAGAAGACAACAAATACAGGACGTTGAAAACATTTTTGTTGTCGGCATACAGTTTGTCTGATACAGAAAGAGCATCAGCGCTCTTTAAACTACAGGGGTTGGGAGACCATAAGCCGTCAGAGCTAATGGACTCCATGTTAGGCCTACTGGGAGCGCACGAACCGTGTTTCCTTTTCAGACACACATATTCCGACAACAGTTGCCTGAATACGTGAGAGCCCCCCTGGCAACATTCGACCATCTCGACTGCCGCACGTTAGCACAAGAGGCCGACAAATTATTCCTTGCCGTTGCTCCACCCACGACACTACTGGCCGTAGATCGCACAACGGCTACTAGCAAGCCCAGACCTTGCCACTCAACAGGTCTATGCTTTTACCACCATAGATTCGGATCAAATGCCAAAAAGTGTGTTCCGCCATACAGTTACAAAAGCCTCCCAAAAAGCATCTGCGGTCCAGGGAAACGAGTAGGTGGGTCAGCAGAATTCAGTCTGGCTTCAGAACCTTCTGTTGGTCCACAAAAAGCTCAATTGATTATCATGGACTCTGTCTCTGGCCGCCGTTACATCATCGATATGGGAGCCCAAGTTTCGGTTATTCCTGCAACATGGCGGGACAAATAGGCGATCACTTCAGGCTCTCCACTTTTAGCCGCAAATGGTAGCAAAATCAATACATATGGAGCGCTCAACACCACCATTCGTTTCCAAAACAATGCTTTCGACGCCAGGCTTGTCATCGCCGATGTAAAGCGGGCCCTACTTGGTGCTGACTTTCTTCGCCGCCACAACCTACTGGTAGACATTCGTGGTCAGAAACTGATAGAGACTCAATCTTTCAAAGTATACCCATGTACTATCAGTCAGATTTCAGATTCTCAGCTAGCCATAGTGGACCCAGAAAGCAACAAATTTAGGAAAATATTAACAGAGTTTCCTGAAATCCTCGAGCCAACCTTTTCGGCCTCCGAAGTGAAGCACGGTGTTTCTCATTTCATCCCCACCACTGGTCCACCCGTACATGCCAAAGCACATCGACTACCCCCCGACAAACTAGCCATCGCCAAAGCTGAATTTCAGAAAATGGAGGAAATGGGAATGATTAGACGATCTAGCAGTCCCTGGTCTTCACCTCTTCACATGGTTCCGAAAGGTAATGGAGACTGGCGACCTTACTGTACTGTAGTATAGGGTTTTACGGCGCTCGCAACTGCTAAGGTTATATGAGCGCGCGAAACACAAGTTGTTTACTTTCGCAAAAG